GTGGTAGTGTCCCTCCCTACCATAACTGTGGTAGTGTCTCTCCCTACCATAACTGTGGCAGTGTCTCTCCCTACCATAACGTGGTAGTGTCCTCTCCACCATAACTGTGGTAGTGTCCCTCCCTACCATAACTGTGGTAGTGTCTCTCCCTCTCATAACTGTGGTAGTGTCTCTCCCTACCGTAACTGTGGTAGTGTCTCTCCCTACCATAACTGTTGTAGTGTCTCTCCCTACCATAACTGTGGTAGTGTCCCTCCCTACCATAACTGTGGTAGTGTCCCTCCCTACCATAACTGTGGTAGTGTCCCTCCCTACCATAACTGTGGCAGTGTCTCTCCCTACCATAACTGTGGTAGTGTCCCTTTCCCTAAACCATAACTGTGGTAGTGTCCCTCCCTACCATAACTGTGGTAGTGTCTCTCCTTGCCATAACTGTGGTAGTGTCTCTCCCTACCATAACTGTGGTAGTGTCCCTCCCTCTCATAACTGTGGTAGTGTCTCTCCCTACCATAATTGTGGTAGTGTCCCTCCCTCTCATAACTGTGGTAGTGTCTCTCCCTACCATAACTGTGGTAGTGTCCCTCCCTCCCATAACTGTGGTAGTGTCCCTCCCTACCATAACTGTGGTAGTGTCTCTCCCTACCATAACTGTGGCAGTGTCTCTCCCTACCATAACTGTGGTAGTGCCTCTCCCTCCCATAACTGTCGTAGTGTCTCTCCCTTCCATAACTGTTGTAGTGCCTCTCCCTCCTATAACTGTGGTAGTGTCTCTCGCTACGATAACTGTGGTAGTGCCTCTCCCTCCCATAACTGTGGTAGTGTCTCTCCCTCCCATAACTGTGGTAGTGTCTCTCCCTTCCATAACTGTTGTAGTGCCTCTCCCTCCCATAACTGTGGTAGTGTCTCTCCCTACCATAACTGTGGTAGTGCCTCTCCCTCCCATAACTGTCGTAGTGTCTCTCCCTCCCATAACTGTGGTAGTGTCTCTCCCTCCCATAACTGTGGTAGTGTCTCTCCCTCCCATAACTGTTGTAGTGCCTCTCCCTCCCATAACTGTGGTAGTGTCTCTCGCTACTATGTGTAGGTCTCTCCTACCAAACTGTGGTAGTGTCTCTCCCTCATAACTGTGGTAGTGTCTCTCCTCCAAAATGTTTTTAGTGCTCTCCATTTCCATTAACTGTGGGTAGTGTCGCTCGCTACTAATGTGGTAGTGTCTCTCCCTACATAACTGTGGTAGTGCCGTCCTCCACCATAACTTGGTAGTGTCTCTCCTACCATAACTGTGTATGTCTCTCGCTACCATAACTCTGGTCGTGTCTCTCCCTACCATAACTGTGGTAGTGTCTCCCCCTCCCATAACTGTGGTAGTGCCTTTCCCTACCATAACTGTGGTAGTGTCTCTCGCTACTATGTGGTAGTGTCTCTCCCTACCATAACTGTGGCAGTGTCTCTCCCTACCATAACTGTGGTAGTGTCTCTCCCTACCATAACTGTGGTAGTGTCTCTCCCTACCATAACTGTGGTAATGTCTCTCCCTTCCATAACTGTGGCAGTGTCTCTCCCTGTGTTCTAGACCAACTTTAGTGTGTTTCTTCAATTAGATCAAGAGTGAGATCACAAGTATGTAGAATTCTGGCAACCTATGATCTCTGAGACTAAGTTCAGCAATGGTCTGAATCTTCTTTTAGAACATAACTAAGTCCGTACTGAACGTAAAATACACACACAAATGCTCTCAGAGACAAAATCCATACTAACATATAGTGTAAAGAATGTGTTTGTGTGCGTGGCTATTTATGGATATGCTGAGCCGAAACTCAACGTGGCTACCCAGTAAGACAGCCAGAGACAGACTCATTCTGTAGTAGAGAAGGGAGGCCAGCACTCTGCAGACAGCCAAGAGGCTCCTTTCATCAATTTTTAAGCACCAGTTATGACTCAGGTGAGGCAGTCAGCTGGGGAAATGTTTCTTACATGTTTCACTTGACCACTTCACCGTTGCCCAGCGGTGAGAGTAGCGACTCTCATTGCTGAGGTCCAGGTAATAAACCCTGGACATTAACATAACATATTTCTTTAGTATTATACAAATACTGATTATTACAGCAGAGTGTCTTGACAAAGTCACAGTAGAGGGCCATGACAGAGGTACTTGCCACCATAAAACATAATATACCACATAATCCTAAAATTATACTTACTTTTTGACAAAATTTATAAAGTAAAAATATGAACAAATATATACGTCTTTTACTCCTGCCCTCCTTCTCTCACTTCTGTCTCCCCCCCTCCGGCCTCCCTCTTCCCTCACTTCTGTCTCCCCCCCTCCGGCCTCCCCCTTCTCTCACTTCTGTCTCCCCCCCTCGGCCTCCCCCTTCTCTCATTTTCCATTAGTACCTTCCCTCTCTCGCTTCTCTTCTTCCTCCTCCCCTCTCCTCTCATTCCTCCAGTCTCTTGCTTCTCTTATCTCCCCTTCTCTCTTTCATTTATTCCCTCAATCTCTCATTTCTCTCCTCCCTCCTTCCGTCTTTTTTCTCTCTCTTTCCTTCAGTCTCTCACTTCTCTCCACCCTCCTTCCCTCTCTCATTTAACCCGGTTCTCTAGTTTCGTGTTAATGGTCTCATATACTCCTGTCTACTGCACAACATCGTCAATATTGACATGATCCACATTTTTTTGAGGTTAGTCTCACACTCTAGTTATCAAGCTGTATAAACCCTTTTGTGTTGTTATTGCTCACACTACTATTACTGTTACCCCCATCACAACTACTACTACTGCTACTACCACCACCACCACCACCAACACTACTACTACTACCACCACCACCATCACGACTACTGCTATTACTACTCCCACCACCATCACTACTACTTCTACCATTGTAATTACTATTACTATTTAAAATATTACTACCACTGTTAACATTACTATTACTATACTAATTATTATAACATTAATTTTAATAATATCACCACTTCTAATTACTATTACTGTCATAGTCTTGCTATTACTAATGAATCTATTACAAAATCAGTTATTATTTCTGCATATTTATTTACTGTGTCACAATTTTCACTCCTATAACACTATACACTACTACTATCACCCGTCACTACCACCACTATCCACCCCTCACCGTCACTACCACCACCACCACTATCCACCCCTCACCGTCACTACCACCACCACCACTATCCACCCCTCACCGTCACTACCACCACCACCACTATCCACCCTCACCGTCACTACCACCACCACCACTATCCACCCCTCACCGTCACTACCACCACCACCACTATCCACCCCTCACCGTCACTACCACCACCACCACTATCCACCCCTCACCGTCACTACCACCACCACCACTATCCACCCCTCACCGTCACTACCACCACCACCACTATCCACCCCTCACCGTCACTACCACCACCACCACTATCCACCCCTCACCGTCACTACCACCACCACCACTATCCACCCCTAACCGTCACTACCACCACCACTATCCACCCCTAACCGTCACTACCACCACTACCACTATCAGCCCCTCACCGTCACTACCACCACTACCACTATCCACCCCTCACCGTCACTACCACCACCACCACAATCCACCCCTCCTCACCGTCACTACCACCACCACCACAATCCACCCCTCACCATCACTACCACCACTACCACAATCCACCCCTCACCGTCACTACCACCACTACCACTATCCACCCCTCACCGTCACTACCACCACTACCACTATCCACCCCTCACCGTCACTACCACCACTACACCACTATCCACCCCACCACCGTCACTACCACCACCACCACAAATCCACCCCTCACCGTCACTACCACCACCACCACAATCCGCCCATCACCGTCACTACCACCACCAACACTATACACGCCTCACCGTCACTACCACCACTACCACTATCCACCTCTCACCGCCACTACCACCACCAACACCAACACTATACACGCCTCACCGTCACTACCACCACCACCACTATCCATCCCTAACCGTCACTACCACCACTACCACTATCCACCCCTCACCGTCACAACCACCCCACCACCACCAACTATCCACCCCTCACCGTCACTACCACCACCACCACTATCCTCCCCTAACCGTCACTACCACCACCACAACTATCCACCCCTCACCTCCACTACCACCACAATTCACCCTTCACCGTCACTACCACCACCACCACTATCCACCCATCAGTGTCACTACGACCACCACCATTATCCGCCCATCACCGTCACTACCACCGCTATCCACCCCTCAACGTCACTACCACCACGACCACCACCACTATCCACCCCTCACCATCACTATCCACCCCTCACCGTCACTACCAACACACCACCACTATCCACCACCACTATCCACCCCCTCCACCGTCACCTACCACCACCACCACTATCACCACCACTATCCACCCCTCACCGTCACTACCACCACCACCACCACTATCCAACCCTCACCATCACTACCACCACCGCCACTATCCACCCCTCACCGTCACTACCACCACCACCACTATCCACCCCTCACCGTCACTACCACCACCACCACTATCTACCCCTCACCATCACTACCACCACCACTATCCACCCCTCACCGTCACTACCACCACCATCACTATCCACCCCTCACCTTCGCTACCACCACCACCACTATCCACCCCTCGCCGTCACTACCACCACCACCACTATCTACCCTCACCATCACTACCACCATCACCACTATCCGCCCCTCATCTTCGCTACCACCATTACCACTATCCACCCCTCAGTGTCATACGACCACCACCATTATCCACCCCTCACCGCCACTATCCACCCCTCACCGCTACTACTATACTACTACTACTACTACTACTACTACTACCACCACCCCCACCCCCACCACCCACCACCCCCACCACCACCACCAAACACCACCAACACCACTACTGACCTCTAATCTTCGTGTTTCTCCTCCACCAGACTGGAACAACATGGCGGCTACCTCTACAACTTTGAAGAACTCATGGCAGACTACAACCAACAGATCAATGCGGGTAACTCTTAAATGAGTCTCTGATAAACGTTACAATCTCCTGGAAAAAAAAACAGAGAAACTCTACATATTTTGCAAGGCTCTTACAGGTTCCGTGAATTTTTACAAGGCTCCAGGAGTCTGTGATAAGGCTCCACCGAAGCTATGTGATATTTTGCGAGAAAGCTGTACACGGCCCTTAAAATATTTTAAGATACTGTGAAACATTGTGAGCTTAGAGCAGCTCTAATAAGGCTCTGTAAGACGTGATATTACTAGCTTTTAAGCAAGCTCTGTGACACTCATTGAAGTCTTTTACTACAAATGTTTGTGTACTCGCCTTCACACAGTTGTGCAAGGATATACAAACTTTATATTGTGACATTTGTGGTGAAGTCTATATATGGATTTATAAGACTGATATTATTAGTGATTTTTCGTGTGTGGCTACATAATTCTGACTGCTTTTTCTGAGACTTTTTGAACATATGCAGTTTTAAAAGATAATGCAGGGAAGTTTTAAACTTTCAGAGTCCCTAACAAGGTTTGTTAAAGTTCGTTTATTTTATATACTATCAAGTCTGTATAAGCCTTTTATAACTAACTCTAAGTATATCTAAGACACACTGGTCTAAGAGCCATAGAGAGAAGCAGTGTTTTGTGTCGAGTCAATTTTCAAACTCAGATGAAGAACAGAAATCGTGGTTTGATTGTTTGGACTTGAGTGAGGAACAAAATTCTCATGCGTTTTTTTTGGACTTGAGTGAGGAACATCGGGTGGATGAACATTTTTTTTGTCTAGTCTATTGGCAAATAATGACTTGATACGTGTTTTTGGGGCTGGTGACAAGCATCAGTCGAATGTGGATAAGTTAGTCTCAGGTGTCAAACACCAGTCGGATGTGGCGTTCTCAGGTTGAGATTACGAGTTCTATTCTGTATAGGCAATGTTGTGTCAACTCAGGGGTATTAAATATTTTCTGGGAACGTCTCATCAGAACGCCTTGAGGAAACGTTTGCTGGGAATGGCTTCCTGGGATGTGTACTGAGAATGCCCGTCATTGTAGTTTTAGTGAGAATAATTACTGAAAAATCATCTGAAAGTAACTTCTATGAGCGGCTTGTGAAAGCATGTGCAGGAAACCTTCCGGGAACCGCATCGGGAAACTCGTTATAAAAACGTCTGGTGCGAATTTTGAGAACATCTTGCGTGAAGCATGAGAACGTCTAGCGTGAAGCATGAGAACGTCTAGTGTGAAGCATGAGAACGTCTAGCGTGAAGCATGAGAACGTCTAGCGTGCAGCATGAGAATGGCTCACGCTAATTACGGGTAGGTGTTACAAGTGTTGACGTCGTGAAGGTGTCAGCGTGGAGAGCCTGTTGGCAGCGTGGAGATCCTGGTGGCAGCGTGGAGAGCCTGGTGGCAGCGTGGAGAGCCTGTTGGCAGCGTGGAGAGCCTGTTGGCAGCGTGGAGAGCCTGGTGGCAGCGTGGAGAGCCTGGTGGCAGCGTGGAGAGCCTGGTGGCAGCGTGGAGAGCCTGGTGGCAGCGTGGAGAGCCTGGTGGCAGCGTGGAGAGCCTGGTGGCAGCGTGGAGAGCCTGGTGGCAGCGTGGAGAGCCTGGTGGCAGCGTGGAGAGCCTGGTGGCAGCGTGGAGAGCCTGGTGGCAGCGTGGAGAGCCTGGTGGCAGCGTGGAGAGGCCTGGTGGCGCGTGGAGAGCCTGGTGGCAGCGTGGAGAGCCTGGTGGCAGCGTGGAGAGCCTGGTGGCAGCGTGGAGAGCCTGGTGGCAGCGTGGAGAGCCTGGTGGCAGCGTGGAGAGCCTGGTGGCAGCGTGGAGAGCCTGGTGGCAGCGTGGAGAGCCTGGTGGCAGCGTGGAGAGCCTGGTGGCAGCGTGGAGAGCCTGGTGGCAGCGTCTTCTGGCTAAGTCTTGTGAATCTTTGACAAGCTGAAGAGAATATAAAAATACATCCATAGAATAATTTGATATTTTATGAAGATTATTACAAAATTTTCCTTATATAAAATTGAATACATTTCTAGACTTTTGTAAAAATATAATTCTATGTAGGCTTACTTTACGAACAAACCTTTAAGCCTTTTTCTTAAATGTATATAAAACTGTTGGTAAAAATTTAATACTTGGTTGAGGAATTGCTTCAAAAAGTGAATGATAGCCCAAAATTCCAGAGACCAATTGAAAAGAGAAAACAAAAAACAGAGATGTTTATGACAAAAATGGACTTTAATAAAAAAAATTGTTTTCGAGATTTTTTAAGTTTGTCTAAGTAGAGCAGGACTACAGTAGTGCGAAGAAGAGTGGAGAGTGCTATGCCATGAACACTTCCATCAAGTTTCAGAAGAGGGTTCATGGGCCTGCTTGCTCCCGTGAAAAAATTCGAGCATGGATGAACGCTGTCATGAATGTTGCTGAAACGAGAGAACAGCTGAGATTGTCAATACAAAGCAACTGTGTACACGTATAGAAGGATACACACGCACTCCTTGACAAAACAAGAAAACACAAACTTTCAGAAGAGAGACGATTCATCGCTTTACAAATGTACACAGAGCCGTTGAAACCTTAAATCACATATGTGGATGAAATTTACAAAGAAAAAAAAAGTCCAGATCGCTATTTTCAGTTAAATTACCTGGAAATCTGTGATGGGAACTCTCTCTTCAACTTGTTCTTTATTGTCTTCTGAACTTCATGCAGTGCATAGACTGAAACCTTGGGAATTTCAGTCAGTGTGGAGACCAAAGTTTTGTGAACATCAGTTAATGTCTGGTAATTGGATCACTACCTGTGCGTAGGCCTCCTAATACTTAGTGATACAACTACTTGTCAGAAACTCAGCTTATGTAGATAGCACATTGGTCACTCTATTGACTGCCAATATTTCTGCAGAGTTGGCACTAGTCTGTAAGTTATTTAAGACATATATTAATATTTTTTTTATAAGACCATCCTGAAACACTGAAAACTTTGCGAATCGAGCAATTTTTTACCATTAGGATAATGACTAAGATAACCTTAAAAGATGTTTACGACGAGCGTAGTAAACAAAGATCCTGGTAATCAAAGAATCTTCAGGTGAAGATGTATGAAACAGCCTGTGAAGGCTTCAGTTGCAGGAGTTTTTGGGTTTATACATTGCCTGTACAATGTACAGCGTCTCTTCACTACCCACCATTCAACCCGATGATCAAAATACAGTCCTAAATGTGTATATTTACAGAGTATTCAGTGAGATATTTGATATGCACTGTATTTTTCTGCAGAACGGGTCACCCAGTGAATTATTCACTACACACTCATCCACCTTTGAACAGATTTGGCATACTTGAAGTAGGTACATTATTGTACTGTTAGTATTAAGTGACTTTTGGGTCGTGTTGTGCATTATAGGATCTATAACTGTGACACACACACACACACACACACACACACATACACACGATTCTCACCAATAAATAAACTTTGTACTTTATTCCATGATATAAGCTGTGTAGAATTGTAAGGAAAGTAGACAGTTGCTTTTGCGTTAGATGGACGAGTTTGGAAGCCAGAGGGAGCAGCAAGGAGAGCCCGGGGTGGCGATGGTTCGCCAAGGGTTCGCCAGGGGAGGCGAAGGTTCGTCGGGGTGAGCATCATGGATGCTGTTTGGGGAACTCTTGGCCACCTTCCCCTCCCCCCCCCCATATCTCCACTCCCTCCTGCTCCTCTTCTCGTAAACATTTCCTGCGTCCTTTAGTCTTATTATAATTATTATTATTATTTGTATTACTGTCATTATTATTATTAGTTGTATTACTGTCATTATTATTATTATTATTATTTATTATTATTATTATTATATTTACTATTGCTGTTTTAATTTTCATATTCTGATCAATTATTGTAATTATTATTATTGTAAGATAAAACTTCCATGCTGTTTTTTAAAAAAAAAATCACGATTCTCCATTGATATACATAAATATGTTTATGATATATGCAACTTTTCCTCTAGGTTTGGGGGATTTTTTAACACCTTTCACAAATTTTAGGCTCTTTTCGCGTGGCCTTGATGGTGCACCTCCGAGCAACATACATCACCACCTCGCTGACCGAAACCTCACAAAACTTTTTTTTTTCTTTCGAGAACATTTGCATTTTATCAGTAGAGTCAAGTAAAATCCGTATTAAATCAGTAAACCTGCAATTGGGCAATTTCTTGTGTGTATGTCGCCTTGCACATAAGATGTAGTGGATATATTTTATCCCGCTGAATGACGCTTGCACACAGTTTGACACAGAGAAATCTGATGAAGTTAGTTAAAGGAAAACATTCTGTGAGTACGTCAGAGTTGTTGGAGTTGGTGACGTCAGTCAGGGTAGCCGTCTGATGTCAGCCGTTTCCTGGGGATATTTAAATAAGGCTTCGTTAGGTAAATAAACTTTCAACAAAGAGTTACATACATGTAATAATATATAATATATGTATATATATAAATATATATATATATATATATATATATATATATATATATATATATATATATATATATATATATATATATATATATAAGGCAAGTACTTTAAAGGTTTTTTGGATAAGTTGGAATACACGAAGACAATTTCTTTCATGTGCTTTGTAAATATGAATTAAGTGGACTCCATAGGTCTCTGATTTATAGACCTGACGAGCACTATAGGATATATTTGCCTTACTTCATACTAGCCGGTGTAGTGAGCGGCCAAGCTGACTCACCCACCACAGTACAAGCCTCTCTAGTGAAGCAGATAACACAATATCTTTCATGGTGATATGAGCACAAACTTAACAAGGATATTATCATTAAACCATTTATCAAATTCAGGTCTTGAGTCACTTGGAAATTCGATATATCCGCCATTTTTTTTTTTTTTAAGATTGCGACATTTTTAAAGATGACCAGAACTTTTTTATTGTTTTCCATTTCTAAGGTGGTGAAACCAAATTTCTTTCTCTTCCACGTTTTAAACATATTAATTAATTAATATGACGTCAATGCTAATGTTTAAGTATGTGCTTTGAATTCATCACTACGTTAGTCCGAGCAGCCACACTTGCTGCTGTTACTGGCACAGCTATATAATGTTGTATGTTTCAGATCTCAGCTACAGGTAGGAGTTTGTGCATCTGCTGGGTGTCACCTGCCTCACCTGTGGTGTATCCTGCCTTGGGCAAGACGCTTTGCATGTTTCTCCAGGTCATCCTCCCTTGGTGGGATGAAGCACTACCAACGCAGCTTCCGAGTGAAGATATTCATCCTTACTTCACTGACACATGTAATTGATCTGACTTATAAATATAAATATCAGAAACTTCTTGGTTTCTAAGTCAGTATTAGTTGTATCTTGATCAAGAGTGAGTTTACTGAAGGTGTTGCAGACCTCGTCACAAATGTTCCACATAGTGATGAAAGTGTTGGAGACCTCGTCACAAATGTTCCAAATAGTGATGAAGGTGTTGGAGACCTCGTCACAAATGTTCCACGTGGTGATGAAGGTGTTGGAGACCTCGTCACAAATGTTCCACGTAGTGATGAAGGTGTTGGAGACCTCGTCACAAATGTTCCACATAGTGATGAAGGTGTTGGAGACCTCGTCACAAATGTTCCACGTAGTGATGAAGGTGTTGGAGACTCGTCACAAATGTTCCACGTATGTGATGAAGGTGTTGGAGACCTCGTCCACAAATGTTCCACATAGTGATGAAGGTGTTGGAGACCTCGTCACAAATGTTCCACATAGTGATGAAGGTGTTGGAGACCTCGTCACAAATGTTCCACATAGTGATGAAGGTGTTGGAGACCTCGTCACAAATGTTCCACATAGTGATGAAGATGTGGAACTCGTTAACAAATGTTCCACATATGATGAAGGTGTTGGAGACCTCGTCACAACTGTTCCACATAGTGATTGAAGGTGTTGGAGACCTCGTCACAAATGTTCCACGTAGTGATGAAGGTGTTGGAGACCTCGTCACAAATGTTCCACATAGTGATGAAGGTGTTGGAGACCTCGTCACAAATGTTCCACATAGTGGTTAAGGTACCGGGGACCTTGTCGTACTCTTTTCACGTTTCTAGACCCTCACATACTCTCGACCTTCACATACTCAGTCTTGACCTTCATATACTCTGGTTGGGCTCAGAATAATCGGTAATGTGTTTATGGAACATCAAGATAGTGTTTGTAAATGGTGACTTGAGTTCTTCCTCTTTCTCTTCTTGACACAGCGAACACTTCCTTCAGTATCCCATAAACCTTGGGTACACAAACTGTCACTGGGCTCACATGATTCAGAAATAGCTATAAACCATAGAGGATTTAAAATAGCTAATTTATATTAGGAAAGCTTATCAACATATAAATAAGGACTGAGAAACTGTCATCTTTAGAAAAAAATAGCCATAATTAATTGACTCATCGACTGAATCTGAGGAATGACCCAGTGGTGGCATCCATGGCAGCTTTCCTGCTTGTATCTCAGTGTTACCTGC